ACACCCGGGTGTCTGTAGCTAACAATGCTATTTACACCCGGGTGTCCGTAGCTAACAATGCTATTTACAACCCGGGTGTCCGTAGCTAACAATGCTATTTACACCCGGGTGTCTGTAGCTAACAATGCTATTTACACCCGGGTGTCTGTAGCTAACAATGCTATTTACACCCGGGTGTCCGTAGCTAACAATGCTATTTACACCCGGGTGTCTGTAGCTAACAATGCTATTTACACCCGGGTGTCTGTAGCTAACAATGCTATTTACACCCGGGTGTCGTAGCAACAATGCTATTTACACCCGGGTGTCCGTAGCTAACAATGCTATTTACACCCGGTGTCTGTAGCTAACAATGCTATTTACACCCGGGTGTCCGTAGTAACAATGCTATTTACACCCGGGTGTCCGTAGCTAACAATGCTATTTACACCCGGGTGTCTGTAGCTAACAATGCTATTTACACCCGGGTGTCTGTAGCTAACAATGCTATTTGACCCGGGTGTCCTAATAATGCTATTTACAACCGGGTGTCCTAACAATGCTATTTACACCCAGGTGTCCGTAACAATGCTATTCACACCCGGGTGTCCGTAGCTAACAATACTATTTACACCCGTGTGTCTGTAGCTAACAATGCTATTTACACCGGGTGTCCGTAGCTAACAATACTATTTACACCCGGGTGTCTGTAGCTAACAATGCTATTTACACCCGGGTGTCCGTAGCTAACAATGCTATTTACACCCGGGTGTCCGTAGCTAACAATGCTATTTACACCCGGGCTACACATTAGATACTGTTTTGGATGTATAGGTATTTATGGCATTTTTTCTTTGATAACTTCCTTCCCCTTTGCTGCTGCGTCAAATTGTAATTATCCTATGGTGGATGTAAAGGCTTATCTTAAGCACTGTAGCGATTTACACCCGGCTGTTGTACTGTATGCATCTCTGCTTGCTCTTTCTACGATGGCCTGCAGGTTACATAAACATCAGGGACAAAAAAACACCTGTGCTATATTGTGAACATGGCTGTAAGGAAATAAATGTCCCACAGACCCCCCTGATGAAAGGGGGTTAATTAATCTGCCACAACAGTGGGAAAGAAGTTATGAGACGTGATGAATTTCAGTATCTTTATTTACAAAATATCACAACAGTAAACAGTGACTAAGAAGTTTTTTGGGGGTGGGTGTAAATAGCCGAATAGCTGCCGTGTGTCTATTTTCACCTGGATGCAAATAGACACTCCGGAAAAAAAATGCAATGGACCTAACAGTTTAATGCACTCAATTGTAGCGGTCTGTAATTGTGTGGTGGTCTACCAGGGGCCGTAGTAGTTGTAAAGCAACCCATTAATGCAATATTTAAAAAAATAAAATCAATTTAACTTTCTTTGTATCAGTCAAGAAGTTACATCTTTGTGGTTTAAAGAATAAAAATACAGTTCTAAGCTTGTAAACATTTGCCAGAAGAGATGATCTCAGCAGGGGTGCGATGTCAAACAAAACTTTCTGATGTTAATTTATCCTGGCCGGGTTTTGCTGAGCTCTGTATTTTTCACATGCGTACCAGGGACCAGCAGCTTTAATGGCACCTTAGCAGCAGAAAAGTATCAAGGGAGAGGAAAGAAATACCAATCTTAGTTTGCCCGATACTTCTGATTGGACGTTTTACTGCGCAGTCACTCAAAGTCTCCCAACAGCACCAATAGGCATTTATTTGATGTCTAGGAAAAATTGAATTGTAATGTATAATTGCTTTCACCAAGGAGAGCATGTTTCCAACCTCTCAGTTAATTTGTAAGTTTCCGTGTCGGGTGGATATTTTCAAAAGCTCATTCCTACAAAAAATTGTTGGAGAACTAAAACTTATAAACTTATGTTGAATGTATTCACTCAGGTACAGCTGGTGGTGAATAGTATGTCAATGAACACACATCAAAAGACTAAAGCCAGGGAAGTAAACCGTATGTAATGAAGTAAAGTTAAAAATCAAGTGAAACGTGGGGTTATTTTCTCATAGACTTCTATAGAATTGGACTTCTACTTGAAACCAGTGGTGTTGCCCCCTGTTGGCCGAAAATTGCTTCTTGCTCCTCGCCAAATAAGCACGTTGTGAATTGTTTGTCTCAATTACATCCTCAAAGGTACATTTCTCAGACTTGACAAAGTTCCTCCAGAGCCAAAACACAATTACACATTTGATCACAGGTTGACTTTAACTACTCATGACCAGTGAAGTCATGTTCATGTGTAAAGTGAGTAGCCTGAGTGGCCTTGTGTTACCATGATGGATTGGCACCAAGTGCAATAGCATTGTTAATATGCTGTCCAGAAGATGCTTGAATCATACTTGTTCCTCCTTTGCTGCGAGTAGGACCAGGTACACCTCAACAAAAACACACCTGTTTCCTATCCTGGCCCAAAATGGTGAAACAAGCTCCCCATTGTTACTATGATAGCAGGAAGTATACACCAGAGACTGCACCTGGGCCATTAAACCTCTGTTGTTATTGTTTTTTTTAGCTCATTTCAAACTATTGCACAAGCACTTACAATGGTTTGGCTCATTTGAAGTGACTGTACATGTTTCTCACCCTTCTGTCTTTTATTTTCATGATTTATCGCAATTATTGTAAGCTGTTTGGATAAAAGCGTCAGCTAAATAATAATAATCCTTATATTTATTATAGCGCTTTATCAAAGACTCTCAAAGCGCTTTACAAATACAGATCATACATGTAATGGTCATCTACTGTGGACAATACCCACAGGAGCACATTCGGGTGAAGTGTCTTGCCCAAGGACACAACGGCCTGACGCAGTGGGGCGGGAGCGGGTTTCGAACTGGAGATCCCCAACGCCCCCTTGATCTGATGATCAAACGCACAGACCACTGCGCCAATGTATTGTGATATATCATGACCTGGAATATACCAGTTTCTATTAAGAAACATAAACATACAAAAATAGAAACATATTGACCTTATCCATGACATGTGATACATAGCGCCAAATGCATGTCAAACCCTGGTGACTAAGCGTTTTGAGCACCAGGAAAAGCGTTATATAAATATATATTATTATCAGAAGCTAATAAAGTCTGTGTTTCCCCCATAATACACTAGAAGAACCTATATCTTTAGGTGCTGGTGTTTTGTTGCATACTTGCCAATGCCATGCCCAAATACATTTAAGTTTTGAAGCTGTGCCTGCTGCTTCCTCCCAAAAATAACCACGACTTGTGAATTGCATTATATAGTTGGAGCGTTCATGTTTTTATGCTTCCTGCTCCCATGACCACAGGCAATCACTTCACAGCGGGCTAATAAAAAGACAGTTGCTCTGCTGCGTATTAGAGGCTGCGTTAAGGGCTTCAACAGTGAGATTAACAGTGAGGAAATATTTATGGGTCTCTTGATAGCTGCTCGCAGGTCACAGCTGATTGGTTGACTATGTCGCTATAATTTCCTTGTCAGTGGTTACATGTTGATGTGGAGCAAACTCTTGTTTTTAATGTGAGCAAAAACTGGAACCAATTTACGAAACCAATTAAAGAGGGGGAAAGAATACAACTTTTTCTTATGAGCAGACAGCAGGTGTTGATATGTGTTCTTTTTCTCTCTCTTAACCTTATTAAAAACAAATACTGACAGGAGAAAATGAAGTAGCTGACAACCTGAAAGGGCAAGTAATATTCTTTGTTTTCCACCAGGGTTATTTACTGCAATAAAGTGCAATCACACATATGACAGTGATGCAGCTTTGTATGAGACGAGCTTTGACAAATCAGATCACTTGGCTGAAACTATATTATATATATATATATATATATACACTATAACCCACTGTTTCCTCTTCCATCTTACAGAGAATAGGCAGTGGTGGATAAAGTAGTCAGATTCTCAATTTGAGTAAAAATACTACATTTCAAGTAAACGTAATGCATGGAGAGCAGAACTTAAGTAAAAGTATTTAAGTAAGATTAGGAAAACTTACTTAACTGTACTGTACTCAAAAGATATTTTTAATAATTTTAAATATTTAAAAGCTAAATTAGCAAATCTTCACATTTAAGAAGCTGGAAATAAAAAATAAAAAATGGTTTGATTCCAATTAATGTCTTGTTAACCCACTGATTGTTTGAGTTGTATAGGTTTGGATGGTTTGATCTATACCAAACCATCATATTATAAACAGTTGTTCCTAAGTATTGTGTGTAAAAATCTGAATTTGATCAATAAACTAGTAAATAAATATTTTAAATGGGAGTAAAAAGTACAAATGTGGCTTTCAACATGTAGTCGAGCAGAAGTAGAAAGTAGTATTAAATTAAAATACACGGTACACAAGTACCTCCAACTGTACTTCAGTTTACTTTCCCCAGTGAGAATATATATGAAAATGTGTCCATTTAAAATAAAGTAGTCCTTGTTTACAGCTGCAGGTTGTGTGAGCGCTAAAGAGTTAAATCTGCATGTTTGAAGGCTGTTTCCTGCCAGTGTTCCAGTTCTGTTGAGGCACCAGAACTTCTTCAAAGGCATCAAACAATATAAGATAACAAGGGGGGAAGGGGAAGTCATTTTTTATTTTATTTTTGTTATGAATGATTGATGCTCCCAGTTGGCAACCATCCAGAAACATCCTTTTCATCCTCGTTTCCGGTCTCTTGAATTTAATCCTCACTAGTTTGTTTTTAAAGACAATCTGTTTCAAACTTGTCTTTATTCTCCGGTAGAGGAATTAACATGAAGGCTGTTTGGATAGTTTCTGGATTGTTTTATATAATGTCCACATACACATGTGTTTCTTTTTATCACGTTTCTCACTCTGTCCAATCACATCTCCCTTGAGTTCTCTTTCCCTCACAAAGCTTCTCATTTACCTGACAACACTCTCTTCCCTTTGTGAAGTCCTTTGTGATTTATGTCTACTTTTCAGCTTGTATGAGGATGCGTTTATGAAGTGTGTAAATGTGTATTTTTCTTCCTTCTTCCAGGACTCTGACAGAGCTCATGAAGCAGCCAGGGGAGGCAGGGATGGGAATGGTGGATGGAGCGGGGATTCATCATCCAATAGGAACCAACGGCATCTCCGCCAGGGCGCTACGCTCCAACAATGGTCAGTCCTCCTGTGTGTGTGTGTGTGTGTGTGTGTGTGTGTGTGTGTGTGTGTGTGTGTGTGTGTGTGTGTGTGTGTGTGTGTGTGTGTGTGTGTGTGTGTGTGTGTGTGTGTGTGTGTGTGTGTGTGTGTTTGCATGCAGGCATACTGAGCTGATGTGAAATGATTGATAACAGAGGTGTTGCAGTTGGGACTCTGCAATCACAGAGGTCAAATGGAAAAGTAGTAATTTTCCTTTTTGTATTCACTGTATATATTTTATAAACTGCAGTGTTATGCCAGTGTGTCAGTTCAGAACAGTTCCATTATGTGACATGTCTTAGAGCATGGTTCCCAACCTGTTTTGTAAAACTTACCCCATCTGACGAACTCAAGTAGCCTTTCACTGACAGCCTCATTTGTTTAAACTGTTACTCCATCCATCTAGTGTTAGCTAACTAGCTTATTAAGCTGTTCATACACAAATTACTGATTTTAATTCTTTGCCCTAACTTTTAGCTAACTTTTTCGACTGTTGATCCTTTACTTTCGGCTAACTATTTTAACATTACATTACATTGCATTTAGCTGACGCTTTTATCCAAAGCGACTTACAATAAGTGCGTTCGACCAACAAGATACAAACTTGAAGAAAACAGAATCATATAAGTACATCAGGTTTCATAGAGCTAAAACATTTCAAGTGCTACTCAACTGGCTTTAGATAAGCCAGTCCTTTATTAGTATAAAAGTGCTTTGTTAGTAATTCTATCGCTCGAAGTGGAGTCGAAAGAGATGAGTTTTCAGTCTGCGCCGGAAGGTGTGTAAGCTTTCTGCTGTCCTGATGTCAATGGGGAGCTCATTCCACCATCTTGGAGCCAGGACAGAAAACCCACGTGTTTTTGCTGATGGGAACTTGGGTCCCCCTCGCAGTGAGGGTGCAACGAGCCGTTTGGCTGATGCAGAGCGGAGTGCACATGCTGGGGTGTACGGTTTAACCATGTCCTGGATGTAGGAAGGGCCAGATCCATTCGCAGCATGGTAAGCAAGTACCAGTGTCTTGAAGTGGATTCTAGTAGTTACCGGAAGCCAGTGAAGGGAGCGGAGGAGTGGCGTGGTGTGGGAACATTTAGGAAGGTTGAAAACCAGACGAGCCGCTGCATTCTGGATGAGCTGCAGAGGTCGGATGGCACATGCAGGTAGACCAGCCAGGAGGGAGTTGCAGTAGTCTAGGCGTGAGATGACGAGAGCCTGGACCAGAACCTGCGTTGTTTTCTGGGTCAGGAGTGGACGTAACGTTAACGATTTATTTATCACTTTCAGCTAACTTTTGCAGCTGTTTTTCAATTAGTTTAAGCTAACTATTAGAGCTTCATTTTAATTACTTTAAGCTAACGATGTCAACCACTTATTAACTCATTTAAGCTAACTATTGCTACTTTGTATCCATTACTTTAAGCTAACCATTTAACCATTAACTTTTAACTGTTTCAACTATTCTACTTACTTCCATCCGTTAATTTGGTCCCTCTCAAAATGTGGTGTTCAGGTGTACTTTCGAAAGAGTTAAGCCAATCCATGCTCCTTCAACAAACTCCCTGGCAACGTTAATAATAATAATAATAATAATAATAATAATAATACATATTACTTATAAAGCACTTTTCCTGGTGCTCAAAGTGCTTTACAAGCAAGTAAAGAAAAAATAACAACAGACTATCTAGAAGTGCCCCCTAGCATACAAGTACCCGTGCCTGGGATGAACTGTCCTTAAGTGACCGTCCAAATAGAGAGCACCACAACACATCAGCACTGAGCTCATGGGACAGCGAGGACTCCATAGACCCATTAAAACCTTGTGTACTGTGTGTTAACATTGCATACCCTTGTTGTATCCACACACTTATACACACAGAGGTCTCCATTTGCTCTCTTACACATGTGTCATCCATGTGCAAAGAAGCACAGGCACAGACAGGTCATTTTTAATTAAGATGTAATCAACCGTGTTCCAGCTCTAAACCCACCGAGGGAACACTGCGGACCCATCTGCCTCCCGCTTTCTCTTTCTGACCACACACACACACATCAGTACACACACATTCATGCTCAATATAACCCGGTGCTTCTTCAGTGCATTGAGACTCAAATTAGTGAGCATGTTTCCTGAGGGCTCATTTGTGACAAGAGTAATGGCACGTTGTAAAGGACAAAGGTCCCCATAGCCTGTCTGCTTTATCCTCCAGCAGAGGAATGTGGTCCACTTGTTTTCTAGTCTGACTATCATCACTGTGTGTCTGAGAAATATCTTAAAAGATGATATCTGGTTACTCGTTAGAGCATGTGTAAAGCAATATGATTTCAATAAACACGCTTCTTTATCGAACATTCAAGCGACAACGATACCAGATGTATCAAATGCTCTGGTTCATTTATTAATCGTTATAGTGTTAGCTTTTCAAGTTTCAAGAATGCTCCCACTTCCATGTGTGGCATTAACTCACACATACAGTACAGACAAAAAGAATGGCTGAGGCTTCTCCCTTTGCTTTCATCTTCCCACCATTGCAATAAACAAGTTGTTGGCCTCTTCTTCACCCCATACTGTGCTTATTAGCGCTCTGCTTTCTTCTGTCTTGCTCTCCCTCGCTCCGTTAATTTCTTTCTTCCCCTGCTATTTAAACCCCCCCCCCTTTTCCTCCTCTGCTTTCTCACATTATTTTTCTCTCTGTGTTTTTTCCTGGTCTTCAGCAGCATTATCTAATCAGCCTTTTAGCACCAAGCATACTCATTTAGTTACATACAGTATACTATCTGTAAGAGAATATTTTAATCTGATCTGTTTATAGAGTCTCTTATAGTTTCTTAGATTCTGTGATACTGCAAACATGTGTTTGACTTATCAGTCAAAGACTATTCTGTAAGTTGAGGTCACAGGTCAAACGCTTCTCCTATATCCGTGGGGGAGGGTTGAGGCTTGTCTGGATCTCTTTGAGACAAGTAGTTCATTGTCTCCCATCGGCTATTGATTAGGTAAACGCGGGCTTTCTGTGGGCCGGCCTCTCCTCGTGTAGCAGCGATGTTTTGTGGCTTTGGTTCAGAGATTATCTTGGTGGAGCACAGGACAGTGTGAAACTAAGATGATCTCCCGGCCGTATGTAATTAATGTACTGTGATCAATAAAACTCTCAGTGCTTTGGCTAACGACGGTTCCAGACTCCTTCATTCTACCTCAACATTGCAACAACAGAAGTTTACCTTCACACTATCTACTACATGTGAGAATATGTTCAGCATGCTTTCAGTTCATTTTAATATTGTGTGAAATACAGGTTCAGTTTTCATTAGATTATTGCCTTTTTATGCTTTTTGGGGTTTTCCCTATTGGCTAGCGCTCCAACACACGTGATAAGGGGCGAGTGATCTCTAAGCGGTTGACCAATCACAACAGAGCCAGCTAACCAATCAGAGCAGACTGGGCTCTGGTTTCAGACAGAGGGTGAAAAGAGGTGCTGCAGCACATTAAAGCATGGAGACATCTCACAGTAGAGACTACAAAATACAAAAATGGAGTTAATATAAGCATAATAGGTCATCTTTAATCTGATTAATTACATTACATGTCATTTGTTAGACGCTTTTATCCAAAGCGACTTACGTACTCAATACTGTGGACAATCCCCACAGGAGCAATTTGGGGTGAAGTGTCTCAGGGACACAACGACATGCTGACTGCAGTGGGACTCGAACTTGGTACCCCCTGATTCGAAATCCAGCACACTATCCACTGAGCCACAGCCGCCTACTATTAATGTTGAGGATTCACAAATACAAAATAAAAAATGAATCTAGAACTTTGAAATCCATTTTCTACCTAAAGAAGATCATATTTTGTTGTTTTTATGAAAGTTTTCCATCTTATATTCTTTTTTATGCCAACAGCACCTGCATGATTAGATGTAATAATGGAGTAATATTCCAGCTCTTAGGGTACAAAACAGGGACGAAGAATTGTGTTACTCAGGTAACAAGAGAAGCAGGAAACCCAAGAGGGAGAATGAATCCTGAAGATGGAAAGATAATTAAAAAAGGGAGAGGAAATAACAGAAGGAAGGGTGTGAGAGGTGTGAAAGCAGGAGAAAATAGATCGGACATATGGAGTGTGTGTGTGTGTGTGTGTGTGTGTGTGTGTGTGTGTGTGTGTGTGTGTGTGTGTGTGTGTGTGTGTGTGTGTGTGTGTGTGTGTGTGTGTGTGTGTGTGTGTGTGTGTGTGTGTGTGTGTGACTGTGCATTGCAGGGGTTGAATGAGGGAACAGGGTGATGACAGTTGGGGGAATGGGATGAGGATATCTTGTTCCTTCTGTGTCAGGGCCACTTAGACGGACAGAGAGATATTTGGGAGTGAAAGACGAGGGAGATGGTAGAAAGTTGGGTATGAATTAAGACAAAATGCTTATCACTTTGCATGTTAGAGTAACATAGATTTTCACATGAGTTTGGCCGTTTCACAACTCGATTTGAACTATTGGGCTCATCCAAAATAAAATATAAGTATGACCCATCACGTTTCAACACTGAACAAAACCTACAATACGATGGGACGCTTTTGACTCCAAGGTCACTCAGAGAGCGCAGACCTCTGCCATGGCTGTTTGAAAATATGGAGAATAATGTGTGTATATTCATCGTGATATGGATCTTCTCCAATTTCTAATGCGTTGCACCTTGGCCAAAGTTACAACCTTCCACCAAGTTTTATGGAAATGAGGTCAGTGGTTTTTCTGTCATCCTGCTGAAAAGCGGACGAAGAAAACCAACTCCTTGACGAATGATGACAACCCTCTTTTCTATAAATGAAAAGAGTGATTGCAGTTGTTACCCCTGCTTGGTCCCGCTTTATGGAGATCCAGCCCATGGATAAAAGTCAAAGAGCCAGCTGTTGGATATATTGCCACTAAATTAGTACTGGCATTCATGGTCCCCAGAGGATGAATCCTACTCGCTCTACTATCTCCTGACTT